AAAAATAATGGAGCACATTTTGTTTAAAGTACTGAAAAGCAAAAATAACTCTCAACCAGAATTTCATATTCAACAAAAAAAGCCTTCACTTTTTTATTTTATTTTATTTTATTTTATTTTATTTTATTTTATTGTTTTTGGTACTGGGGATTGAACTCACCACCTCATACTTGCTAAGCAGGCTCAAATAGATATTTTCTAAAGAATGATACCTTAAAGAATTTGTTCCCAGCCTACAGGCACTACCTAAAAGATGTCTTTCAGGTCAAGGAGAAATTCAAATCTACAAGATCTTACAGCACCAGAAAAGATAAGTGAGAGAAGATACACAGCTAAAAAACTAAAGAGTTAGATAAATATCTTTGAAACTATGTTAAAAATGGAAATCATCATGGAATTAAAGTTCCCAGAGGTTTAATTTCAAGTTACCTCTACTTAAGAATTAACTGCCTTAAGTTTTTCCCTTGTAACAGAATGATGCTAAAAATTATCTTGAAGGTTTTCTCAACTAAAGCTTTTCCCCAGGTAGTCTGGAAATTTAACCTATAATTTTATTTGACTCTGAACATGAAAATTCAGAGTATAGTTTCAGAGTTCCCATTTACTTTTCCTTTGACCAACAGAAAAGGGCTATACTTCATACCCACACTGTTGATTGTTTCTACCAATACTAAGGGTCTGATAGTCACCTGTTATTCACATTAGTTTAAAAACACTTCTATAAACCTTAAAATAGTCGTGAGATATCCTAACTCATAAAAGGAAATGTAGAAACCAGTGCAGAAGCAGATTTTCAGCAAATGCACAGTCAGAGTTCGGTTATCCCTTTAAATATGTAATTTTGCTTTAAGTAGCACAAAACGAATTACAGTTTACCTACAGAATCCAACAAAAGGGCCTATTGTAAGTGTTTGATTTTTTTGTTTTACTGTTAAAGCCCCTAATATTTCTTTTGTTTCCTTTATTCTTCTGGGAAATTCCAGAATAATTTTTCTGTTCTGAAAAAAGATAGGTAGAAGTCTAAGAAGTGTTTTATCAAGAATATAACTATACTTAAAACCTTAAAGCAAAACTTAAGATTTTTGGTACTAACAAGAGCCAATTATTTTATAATGAGCATAAAAAGAAAATCAAAAACCAAATGTCATAAATTCAGAGGGTTACAAGGCTCTTTGATATGTGAAATATAATAATTGATAGGAATGCTAAATTACTAGGATAAAGCAGTTTTGTAGGGTGGGGAGGAGACTGCATCAGACCAATCAGAAACTGAGACTTGAAAAAATGGGCACTATATTTATATGGGATACAGATGTCATAAGAAAGAACAAAATTCCTATTTATGAGATAGTTTTATGTAGTACTTAAAATGTAGCTGGAAGGCTCCGGGGAGATCATTTGAAAACAAAGAACGTTAAGCAAATGTTCAGAACTGGGGAGGAGAGTGATGAACCTCTTCAGATATTACCATAATTTCCTATAAATTTCTAGTGGCTCTGGTAGTTACAGAGTTATTTACATATTTTTATGCTCTGGAAATTAAATGATATCATTTTTTATTTTCCTGTTAATTTAAGAAAAGAACTAATCAAAGATCATTAGAAAAATTTTGAGTTAGGCACTGATACAAAATTTTAAAATTCTAATTACTAAAGATCAAAATCAAAATCCTCTATATTTTTAGTTGGCAGAGGAGATGAGCACAATAAATAGCTTATACATTTTCATGTGTTTGTACACTAAAAATACTAAAAAATGTCTAACCATCTATTGCTTTTAATATATTTACATGTCCAACCAACCCAGAAAACCCACTAAAACACAAATTCAAATTGCAATCCAGTTACAATGTAAGCCAGGCACAAAAGCCTTCTAATGATCTTTGATTAGTTCTTTATTAAATTCATCAAGGGAGCAAAGAAAATTTAATAATCTTCACCAGTTGTCATCTTTCTGATTAGAGTTTTGATTAGAACTTTCAGCTTTTATTTTTCTCCTTGCTAGCCTTTGCCAGAGCTTTTCTACCCCTTCTAGGTGTAAAGAACAAGGCAGATGGATCATGTTAAATAAGTCACACTCCTACTATTCCCTGTTATTGAAGGAGAGATCCGTGCATCCTCTCCTCGCCACCTAGCCAGTCTCACCACATGACAAGACATTTCCGAAACAGTGAACTCTCCATTTTCACCAGCTTCTTGTCCAGGAATGTATTTTGCTTGCTGTGGATGGTTAGTTTCCCTAGGGGTTGAAATTAGTTTTTATATCCTATTAAATTTACAAATAAAAATTATATTAAAAGCTGATTAGTGATACTGCACACTTTTCATGTGAGAAAGCAGTGAGCTACACAAGCCACCGTCCATAGGTATTTGAGAAATGTCCAATTATATTGTTCAGCATAAAGGACTCTGAAAGGTTACTCAATCTGGGATAAAAGGAGTGAGATGAACAATAATAGTGTTTACATTTTTCTGCCTTTTGCAACATATGGGGGAATAATGACCTTCAGATTTCTATATAGCACATTTCTTCCTACTATTCACAAATATCGCTTCAATTATTTCCCTATCACTGTTGAAAAGTAGGAAATGTGTAGCTATTACCATCTCCATATCCTATTATATAATGCTATTTCAGAACCTGCTACCTGAAAAGAAGGGCAGTAAGACATTGTGTTTATAATCACACTTGATCACCTCAGACCTCTGCAGTGGAGAGAGGTAATAGGAAAGAAGATAAAATAAATAGTAAAAATGCAAAGGAAATTATTAACCTACAAAAATGTTGAGCTCCAAAAGTTCATTTGTTAGGCTATTGTTTGGAACTTAAAAATCTATATCTCCATGGAAACAATACTGTAAGTGGTAGTTAGGCTAGCCTATCACAGTCTATTTATTTATGTAGTTGAAAATACAAGTACAATGAAAATTACAGTAGTAGAAAACTATTCTTTAGAAATCATGGTATTTTAATACTATGTACAAAGCTAAATACACTTTTGTAGAGTAACCTGGTTGCCCAGTGTCTTCTTTTCGTAGCCTCGCTCAGTACTCTGGACACTGCAAACACTGACGCTGTGATACTCACTGGGGATCTGGGACACTCCCAAATGCAAATTTACCACCATGGAACTCTCAGAGAAAACTGGTTGACAGCTTATTAAATAGGCAAATTCCCTCTTTCTTTATTTCCTCAAACCACCATGGACACTGGGCATCCTACGTAAAGACAATGGGTGTCAAAAAATTCTTCAGTTCAGGATCCCAGAGAAAGTTTTTCTCACTTCAAACATGGTAACAGTTGCTCATCCTAATACCCCTGTATATACATTGGTGTTTTCAGGCATAGTTCAATATTCTAGATCTTATGATTCCCTATATTTTGTACATTCCTATGACAGCACTTAATAAAAGTTCAAAGGGTAATTCATCCTAATACCATGAGCTCTTAAAGATCAAGTGCTGTATTTCATTTATCATTGCATATTAAGTCCCTTGCATATCTCTGGAGCATAGTAGGAGGTCAATGTGTGTAGAAAAAGTGGTGTTGCTTTTCTTCAACTCTGAATTTCCTTCTGTTGACACAGAGATCAGCCTGCAATACTTGGAGCCATTTTTCCTCCCCCATCCAGCTCTTTTATTTTACTTCCTATTTTGTAAAGAAACTGGGAGGGTGAAGACATTCTCTTTATTGCTCCCCTAAACCCAAAACCCAACTGCAACTATAGGTAGAATGAAGGATGCAATACATAATTGAAAATTAACTTGCTGTACATTCCAATTTTCTATTTAAATTGTCATTGGATATATAGCAACCAACTACAGAGAAAGAGCAGATCCTTTTAAACTTCAAAAAGCTATTCTGGTCAACACTGATGCCAAAAATAGACAAGGGTTTGAAGAATCTGATTGTATCTGACTCCATTTGTTCCATCTCTCTCAGAGGAATTTATGTACTTACACACATCCATCCACTATACACACGAGCACACACACACAATATTCATTAGAAATCTGAGACACCATTAGTAATGGTAATACATATTCATAAATGTTTTTAAAGTGTATCATTTGTGCAATCGACATAAATAGATCTTTGAGTGCTATTCTAATCTTATATTACAATTATATATTTAGGGCACATTGTTCATAGATTTAAAAATTCAATATGAATGTTTCAAAATGCACTATGTTTGCCTCTCAGCTGAGTGCTTAAATGTTATATCTCAGATTTAACATATAAAACCAGAAACTCAAAAAAAAAAAAAACCCAGAAACTCTTTGAATCAAATGACAGTTTGAGTCCCCACAGCTATTAATACAGTAATTTGATTTGAGACAGATTTTTAAAACTTCCTGGGTACAATTTCTCAAAATGTGTAAAATGAGAGGACAAACTAAATAGTTTGAGGTCCCAATTATATAATTCTAATATGATTATGTTAATTACATGTTTATTACTATCCTATTCTAAAACCTTTTTCTTTTCTTTTGTTCTTACCTTTTTGCCTTCTACTTCTACTTTTTTCTTCTTTTCTTTTGGTCGTTCTTTGCTAATTTCTTGAGGTTTTTGTTTATATTATTTCAGTCCAGTAGCCATTGCAAAGTTATGCTATTCTAGTTTTTTAAGCATTCTAAGTCTAGCACAACTAGAGTAATAGCAAAAAAATTTCTGTAGCCATGAAAAGCAGAAAAATATATATAATAAAATATCAGAATTGATAGCCTAAACATTTAATATTAATTTTAATTGAAGAAATGCAAAAATATCATCATCTGTTAAACAAAGAACATCTTTTTGTGTAGGCAAAGATGATAGAAAAAGAATGAATAGAGTATAGTTTGTTCTCTTTTCCAGAACATACAAAATAAATGTGAAACTGTCCTGACCAAAAAGACAGACTATGCAGCTAAAGTCATATAGAGAAAATATGAAGATAGAAAATTCCACAGCAACAGCTTTCAGCACCAGGTGCAACAATATTACGGCAAGGGCTTTACCTTCAAGTTACCAGTCTCGCTGGAATTTCAGGAACTCTCAGCTCACACTCCTTGGAACATCCAGGCCATCAGCAGGGGAAGGAGAAGGTATCTTTTTGTGAGAAAGCATGAAACATTTCCCAAGGTACTTTATGAAACAGTTTGGCAGAGCTTGGCATATAAATACTAAGGTGAGTGCATTTGTTGTTGTAGCTCTACAGAATGTTAAGCACTGTATTTTTAAAATCTTAACATTGTAGAGTGCTTAAAATGAATACTCTTCCCATTTAACTGGAGCCTTTTTCACCTCTGATGGGCAGACTATGAGGTTGCCTAAGAGCTTTCCCCAAGTCTCTGAATCAAAGAAGTTTGATTGGTTCTTTCCTTCACCAGCTTATTTTATTGTGCTGGATGATGACTTGACTTTTCATGTCACCCTGAGAGAAAAGGATTTGTTTACACGCTCCTGGGTTTGGGGAGGGGACCTAGGGCTCTGAGGAAGAAAGCAACTTCAGATAACATCAAGAAGCTAGGGCTCATTGGTGATGTTGCATAATGAGACCACCTTCTACCCAGTATTAAACACAATTTTCAAAGTCAACCTGCTCTGAGTATTTTATGTGGAGGTAAATGGGGTTCCATGTTCTTTGTCAATGAAACTTGATTCTTTCCCCTGTGCTTCTAGAAGCCCAGTTAGAATAAGCAATTTAAAATGTCATGCTTCCTGTGGCTGTCCCTCACCCAGTCACTGAATGCACAGAAACAACTCCAGGCACATTCAACTATGTGTTCTTTATTTAGCAGCCAAGTCTCTCTACTGGAGGAAAGATAGCCTCTTTAATAAGTGATGCTGGGAAAACTGGCTGTCTAGCTGCTGAAAGTTAACCTAGACCTGTATCTCTCACCATACACTAAACTAAAATCAAAATAGATCAAAGATCTAAACATTAGAACAGAATCAATCTGCTGGAAGACAAAATAGGTAAAACTCTTGAAGCCATAGCTGCAGGCAAAGACTTCTTGAGTAAAACCCAGGAAGCATTAAGAAATAATATCATAAATCAGCAAATTAGATCACATCATTTGACCCAGTTATCCCCCTTCTAGATATCTTTCCAAAAGAGTTAAAGACATCCTAGTCATATGTGAATATCCATGTTTATATAGCAAAGTTCATAATACCTAAATATTGGAGACAGCCAATATGTGCATCAACAGATAAATGAATAAAAAAGTGATATTTATACACAATGGAATACCATTCAGCCATAAAGAAGGATAAATTTGAATCACTTGTAGAAAAATGGATCTACCTTGAGACCATAATATTAAATGAAATAACTCAGACATACAAGCCTAAATATCACATGGCTTTTCTTACATAAAAAATATATGTGTGTGCAAGGATATGTGAATAGACATTTACATACATATAATGAAATGAAATACAGATAATAGGAAAAAAGAGAGAAAAAGAATGGTAATCCAGCACAGACAATGTATCTATAAATGTACCATGACAGTAAAATTGTCTTACACATTTTACATGTTCTTGGCCTGTTCATCTGGTTTCCAATCTGTATATATGATAATTAACTTTATATGGTCTTACAAAGTAAATGAATGACCTTGATGCTGGAAAAAAGGGGGTGGAGAGAAAGGGAAAAAAAGAATTGAAATGTGTTGCGTATATGTACCAATTCGCTATAGTAAATGTAATCATCATGTACTGCAAATATGCACTAATAAAAGTAAAAGTTATATTTAATCATAGCATCTCATGGAAATTATGCACCAACACATTTTTTTACTATTGTGCAAAAAAAGGCAAAAAAGAAACAAAACAGAAAAAAATGGGCCTTCTAGTTTCTTCCATTCCCAGTAATCTCTTAGACAATAATTACTATTTCAACACAAACTAGATTGATGGAACACTAAGAAATAGGATTAATCATCCTAAAAAAGGAGAAAAAGTATTAAAATAACTTTGCACCCAGTACTGTGGAGGTTTCAACTGGTCTCTTTTATGGAGGTGCTTGTTATACTAGGCAAGGAGTTAACCTTGCCAGACACCCAGCTAATCATCCGTGAAAGTCATTCTGCCCCACAGAAAGTGTGTGCTACATTCCTTACCATCCATCTTAGAATTGAAGGCCAGGGGATCAGAATTGCCTGTCCTGACGTACCTTGTTAGTTACGGTAAGGTTCAGAGGGTGTTTTCCCCTAATGCTTACAATAACTCTGTCAGAAGAAGTGTACTTTTAACTTCTCGGTGCAGGTCAGCAATGTTTAGAATTTTGTTCAACCTTCCAATATAAAGGAGCAGAGATTTAAGAAAAAAACAGCCAGAAAACTGCAATCCCTCTACAGTTGCCTCACAATAGTCATAATTATATACATTGTATATTTTCATGCCTTTTTCTGCCTGACACATAAATACAATTATCAGACCAAAAGGAAAGATATATTACCTCCTAATCACAGAGAGATGCTTAGGGTAACTGTAAATGATGAAGGGCATAGCTCTCTGATGTATTCAGTGCAAAAAGCTAGATGTAACAGATCATATACAATGAGTCCATTGACGGCATATGTTTCACTCTCAAAGGGTAATTACCAAACACTCAAGCTTGGGAAGAGTAGTTTTTCTGATTTCTTGTTTTTGTTTTTGTTTCTGTTTGGGGGGTTTTTTTGGTATTGGAGATCAAACTCAGGACCTGTCACTTGCCAAGCAGACACTTGTGCCACTGATCTAAACCCCCGGCCCTAGGAAGAGTAGTTTTGATTTGTCTGGAATATTTGAATTTTTAACACAGAAAATGTATTAATATGTTGGGGTTCACTGAATTTAAAAACATGAAACTAAAACTTCAGACACAGTTGCACCTTAATAATGCATACATATTTTGCTCTGCTTTGGCAAGATCATGTATAATCGCTACATTCTCTGCACCATATTTTATTGAAACAGCACTGAGGAAGAATTTTCTTTTTTTTTTTTTTAATTTTATTTAAGGAGAAAAGAAAAAAAAGCAGGGAAAGGGTACAAGTTATACAGATTTACAGAAAAAAAATGAACAGTAGGAAGTCACTAGTTAATGGATTACATATTGTCATCTTAGAAATAATTGTTCAAGTCACAAAATTAAAGCTTGTAAAGTGGACATTCCATCAATGATACTGCAAACAGTTCTGTTCATTGATCCAATAAAACTCTGTGATATCATTTTCTATCTTATACACTTAAATATACATGCAGTTATATAGTTTAGAGTACTTTCTTTTCCTCTCTTTTGTACCATGACTATTACACATTTTGGGTTTCATTGCTCCCACGGTTCTTATTACTTTTTTGGAAGAGAGTAAAACCAAATGTGACATAACAGAACAGAATCGGTCAAGTCAAAAGGGTGGACATAATAGATAATGTAAAAACATAATACAGGTGATCAACAATGGTTACCATAATGTCTCCCGCTATCTCTAATAGAATTGCCTATATCATTAGTTATAATACAATTGAACAAAACAGTAAAGAATAAAACCGACAAAACCAAAACATTGGAGACATTGTAGGTCTTCAAAAGTAGATAAAAGTCAACAAGAATGGGCGTCATAATGAATCTCATTATCTTCACAGCTGATGCCTAAACTTTCGAACCTGATACTATCCAGCAAAACAGAATAGGGGAACATCAGTTAAAAACCAGATGGTGAGAGTAATACAGGGCTTTAAATCAAGGTAATGAAAAGTCAAAATGGGTTACTATAATATATCCTGCTATTTTTTTCCTTTAATTAAAAGGATAAAGATAAAAAAGTAAATAATGGAGTGGAGATTGAGATAAAAGAGGGCATAACAACGAAACAGCGCAGATCAAAACATAACCATTTAAGCAGAATAGTGTTTCACCACCAGATAATCCTAACCTAAAAGTAGTTACCATATTGTTTCTTTCTTTGAAATCCTTGAGTACAACTTCGTATACTGTAGCATTAAGTATATCAAAACAATGTAAAACCATTCAAGAGAATGACAGCATTACAGAGTATTTAGAATCGACTAACAGAAAATGAACAATGGTTTCTGTATAATCTCCTTGTCTTTAAAAGGTTTTTGCTTATACTATCGTACATAATAAAATCCAATAAGATACAGCCTATTTAGACCATTGGAGACAGAAGGACAAAAGCTAGATGAGACTTCAAAACAAGATGATACTAAATCAGTATTACCTATTAAGATGTCATTTTCTCCAAAATAGCTGTTCCTATCATCCAATCTTCTCTGCCTCATTTCTGTTAAGCTCTTTTTCTGTCAGTAGCTGTCAGTTTGTCTTCTTCATTTTGTTCTCTGCTCCATTTGTTGTGGCCTCCCCGCCACTATTTCTGGGTTCTTTGTATTTTTCTTTTTTTAGAATATCCTGCAATACTTTCTGTAGAGTTGAATTGGTGGTTGCAAATTCCCCCAGTTCCTCTTTATCCTGGAAGCACCTTGTTTTTCCATCAATTTCCAGGGACAGTTGTGCAGGATATCTCAATCTTGGCTGGAGATTATTATCTTTCAATGCTTGAATTATTTCCCCCCACGCTCTTCGTGATTTGATGGTTTGTGCAGAGAAATCTGCTGTAATTCTGATGGGTGTTCCCTTGTAAGTGGTCTGTTTCTTGTCTCTTATAGCTTTTAATATTCTGTTCTTGTATTGAATTTCTGGAATTTTTATTATTATATGCCTGGGTGTTGCTCTGTTTGGGTTGTAGGTAGCTGGGGTCCTGTATGCCTCATACATCTGAGTATCTTTACCTTTTGCTAAATTAGGAAAATTCTCCTGGATTATTTCTGTGAGTAGCTTTTGTAGTTCACTTGTTTGCATCCCTACTTCTTCTTTTATGTTCTTAATCCTTAAGTTATGGATCCTCTTATCATCTTCTTGTCTTTGTATTATTGCTGTTTGTTTCTTTGTTATTTTTAAGAAGTTTTTCATTTCATTCTCCCATATTACAAGTCTGCCCTCCAGTTCAGATAGTCTGTCCTTAGTTTCTTTCAAGCTGTTATGCCAGTCTTCGATAGACTTCTTAGTATCTTGGTAGTCCCTTTGAACCTGCTTCACGTATTCTATGCTTTCTCTGTTTTCTCCATCAAACAATTCTCCCCTTTTTTTCTGTTCTTCCATTCCATCACCTGTTTTTTCTTGGGTGGTGCTTAGCATTTCTCTAACTATTCTGCATACTTCTAGCTTCAGGTCGTTGATAACTTCATTCCTGAATTGGTCTATGAGGCTCTCTATATGGTGCCTTATGTGTATTGGTGCGGTGTCTGCTATTGCCTGTTTCTCAGAATTGGGGG